AAAAAAAAAAAAAAAAAAAACACGATCAAAAAGATCGGTATTTATACCGGCGAAATATTATCGTTTCCGAAAGATAATCGCAGGCACGGTGTGTGAGTGTAGAAAGTGTCGTGCCGCGCGCGCACAATAGCGACACAATCAATCGATCGATAGATACATATCGAACTTTTACATTTTGCGGACAGAAATATTGGTTTGCGCGGACGTCATTAATTCAACACCGGTTCGCGCGTGTCTGCGTGTTGGATCGTGTCTCGTTATAGGATTTACGCGCAAATCGAAAACACTTTGCATCGTAGATGTTCTGTTTCGCGCAACAGTTCGAGTTTCGCGTGAAATGTTTCGGAAAATGGGAATCCCGTCGCGTCAAAGAGACGTCTCTCTCTCGTACGTCGTGGCGCAGGCTTAGGTGTTGAAACAAAAAATTGTTTGTCAGGAATATGCATTACGTACGACGAGACGGTCGACATCAATTTCCCCGCCCGGTATCTATTTTCCAATCGAGCTCTCCACAGGTTTACGCGATGTAAATCAGTCTGCGTCCGGTATATCGAAGTTCGATGTGTGTATAGCGCCAAGTAAACTTGCGCTACGCCACGATCACGCCGGCTATATCTCCATTCTTCCTTGACACGTGTGCGCGCTTGTAAAGCGCACGCGACGGTTTTCAATCCCGCTTCCCGTTGTTGTACACATGTTTGCGCTTTTCGCGAAACCTTTGAGTAATTCATTCGAAATCCAATATTCCGCGCTACAAATATTCGTGCGTTTTATTATTGTTGTTTTTTTTTTTTTTTTTTTTTTTTTTAATCTTTTATCGCGCACATGTGTTTTAATTGGGCACAAAATGGACGCGTAAAGCGCATTTAATCCTGTACGGGAAAAAAAATTTTGATATCACAACCGACGCAAAACAAAAAAATTCACCGAGCCTATCGAATGTTTTGTTTCGCTCTTCAAAAATCATTTTTGTTGGGAAAAAACAAAACGTTCAATAGGCTTAACAAATTTTTCTCGCTATATTGTAACTAATATTCTTTAGCTGTTCCGGAGAAAAAACTTTTTTTCTCGCGATATCGTACAAACTCCCGGGAATGTACAAAAGTCGCGGGGAATTTGTGAAAATGCTGTCCGGAAATTTCCACCGCCGAGCAGCAGCGGCACTCGCGCGCGCAATGCATCGGGGGCTTTTATGCGGGATTCGGTCGTAATCCCCTCACGTGCCGTAAATGGGCGCAGTTGGTCTTTGACGGTTTCGTGACGCTCTTCCGTTTCTCCGGCGTATTCCACTCGGTGAACACACAGCGACGTCTTTATAGCTTCCGAGGTATCAAGTTTACTTCTACTCTTTTGCGTAATTAAAACGAGAGAGACAGAGAGAGATAGATAGATAGAGAGGGAAGGAAAAGAAGAGAACAGGCGAATTCAGGAAAATGAGAGCAAGTTTTTCGGTCGATGAGACAGTTGATTTCGCAACGCGATCGCGAGCGAGCGTCG